GGGACAGCTGCTGCTAGGGTGAGACAGACGTCTCTCACAGAGTCCTTTAGTGCTGCAGGCAGGCAAGCTGTTCAACTTCAGTTTTTTTATTTCTATATGAAGAACTCTGCATTATTAAATGATAAGAACAAGTAATCTGATGTCCTGTAATCATTATGATGCTATAATTTGAGATACAATAAATAAAATAAGTTTTTGTACAAAGTATCGGTATCGGATCAGTATCGTCGATACCACCCTGAATATTACTTGGTATCGGATCGGAAAGGAAATCAGTGGTATCGCACATCACTATGCTGAACTATGAAATATTTTGGGTGCAGTGTATTTTTTGCATACAGGTATAACAGAAAAGCTTTAGTTGTTTTTTTTAAAACTGAAGAAGAAACTAAAAAAAAAGCAACAAAAAAATTAAAAAAACAGTTTTATTGATTAAAAAATACACTATATCGGATTCATATCGGCAGATATCCGAATTTATGATATCGGTATCGGATATAAAAAAGTGGTATCGTGCCATCTTTACTATCTGCTGATGTTTTTGTGGTACAGCTTGTGATATTTGCTCAATTAAACATGAAAGTTAAATGGAAATAATCACAAAAATGAAGAAAATCATAATCATTTAATGTTAAAAAGGATTCAGTTTTATTTTAGCATTGTTGTAAAATATAACTATATACTATTTAGAAATTGTCACTTTCTGTCTGTTTTGAAATGGGAAGTGTTTTTTTTATTAGTTTGCTTTCATATATAGGACTTTGTAGTAGTCTTGCACTTTTTTCAGATTTTAAATATTTAAATATTTATTTTTACATATTTGAACATATTTTAAAAACATATTTTAAAAATTTAGCTTTATCTTTAATAGTCTTTGAGATAGTCATGTTCAATCATTGCCACAAATTTCAGCTTGTGACAAATGAGTCACAGCAATCATTATTAATGTTTAATAAAAATCTACCATTTAATGTTTATGCAAATCAGAGACAGTCAAGACGTACGACAGAATGATGCTGATGTGTTTCCTTTCCTCCAGCTTTTCATCTATGCTAAGCTAAGCTAATGCTTTCCTACTCAAGCTGACACGCACCTCTATCTCTCTCTTTCAGAGGCAGACGGTCGAGCTGATCCCCATCACCAGGGTGAACTACAAGTGGAAAGACAACACCCACGCCTACTATGTGTACGGCAACGAACACAAAGTCAATGCTGACGACTATCCAGCAACCTGCTGCTGCGTCATCCTGTAGACTGTTCTCTTCTTTTAACATCAGCGCATGAAATGTTTATTAAAATAATTGTTTTCATTTGATTTATGAAAGCCAAAACAGCATCCCACATAAAGAACATCATACCAAAGTAAACATAGTGGTGGGAGTGAATTAAATTAAGGATCTGAAGTAGCTTAGACAAAGTCCAGACTGAAATTCATTTCAGATGCTTTGGCATAGTCTTAAATATGCCAAAATCACGAGTTAGAATCTCAGTGGTCAGGGGTCACGCTTTCTGAAAATCTTTGTCTACAGTTGCCAGTATTTTAGCGTGCCATGTCCATCTCTGGACTTTTTTATTCTTTTCTTTTTCATGTTTATTGAAGGATATCATACAGTGTCTGTTGCATTTGCTAAACATCCTACATATGTAAAAGAAACGAGGATCAATATAAAGGTTAATTATTGCTTAGCTCCAAGTCTCCATGAAAAGCTTCTATATTTGCTTTTTTATTCACGTTTTTCTGTTTTTAAATGCATTCTGGGAGAAAGAAGGAAGGAAACGTTCTCAGTTCATATGGCCTGAAGCGAGTTGGTGACTGAATGACATATTAGTAGCTCGACTCTGTTTTCCGCTCACCTCACTTTAGCAGACCAATATGGGGTCCGCACTACAGCTACGCCAATCCGTCTATCAATCTGCCAAAGTGTCTTATTCATCTACTGTGAAAAAGACAATGAGATACTTGAACTCCTCCACTTAAGGCAGCAACCCTGAGTTCACCATGCACTCCTTCCTTCTATAAAAAATATCTGATGTGAATTTTGGGGGGGTTGTAGGTGCACCTTATCAGCATTTGAAAATTGTAAAATATAAAAGATTTCAAACATTACAGTTTTATAATCAACTGTAATCAGTTAATTAAATGATTGAATGTGTCCATAACTATTTTCCAGGTGCACATCTGACAATAGGAGTCACAGTAAGACCCCTCACATCTTTAGCTTACATAATTGCAACCATAGACTGTATATAAAAGCTCATGCTAAATAGCTTTTTAAACTCTTCCAGTTGCTAAATGTAGTCCAGATGTAAAGACATGTATAAGAAAATCACCGTTAGCTGCCTTTCTCTGTAAGCTCAGTAGACTTTTATGATGAAGTTAAGTTTAAGTTGCTAATCTCTGGTCTTACTGAGTACAGCATGATGTTGCATTGGTAATTATAAACACCACTACCGTCAGAAAGGAGGATAAAACACGATATACCTCAAGCCAGTGTGTGATGCGTCTCCTTTTTTACATCAGGTATTAAAGCACCAACACAGCAGCAGTCATAATCATCAACTTAAGGCTTTGAGTCTTCACATTGGAACTTCACTAATCAATGCAGAACATTGACTATATCCATCTATTATATATTGTATGTCTGCAAAAACCAAAGAAATACACAAAACCACACAACCCCTTAGACTGCCTTTCTTCAAGACTGCAAAAATCCTGTAGGAGGCAGTGTCCGACTCAGGGGGTCTGCCCTCTGCTGGCTGTTACTTATCTATGATATTCAGGATGAAATTATTTCTGTTTAAAATAGTCTACTGTTAATGTTTAATCAGTCATAAAAATATTTTTATGTGCATTTACTTAAATATGTATTCTGTTAACCATTTGAAGATTTTAGTTTTACTTTTGTTTTTAGTTAAACAGGTAACACAGTTCTTATTTTGATAATATAACCAACAACTTTTCTGTTTTATAATTTTGTTTCTTATGAATGTAACCCCTAACACCAGATTGTTCTAGAAAAATATGCATTTAAAATATGGACATAACCATTTACTAAGTGGAATGCTCTTTTATCTGCATAGCCTGCCTTACCTTCATACAGGTACATTTTTGCTCATAACCTGGTGGGCCTGATCATGTTATTACATGTTATGATCTGTTATTACTGTGGTTTATTAATGGTATGTTAGTCCTTAAACTGAAAAATAAACTCTGAGACTCATCTGCTTCTTTCCCTTATTTCCACCAAGCTGGGGATGCATAAAAATGATGATAAACAGAAAGAAGTGAAGATTTTGTAATATCTGCAGTGATCTGAGTACTTAACAGTTCGAGTCTTTGCAGATGGTTCTGTTAGGGAGCAAGAAAAAGGGGAGGCAGGCATATATGCCTTACACGTATATTGTATGTAAAGAAGAATATAAATTATGTTTTGGTGATGCTCTGAAATTCACCTCCAAACCCCTCAATGGAACGCATTATTTAAGAGTAAAATTAAACATTCCAGTGACATTTGTTTGTCTAGCTGACATATTTAATGACATCAGTTAGGCATTTGTCTGTATGCAGACAGTAAATATGGAGAGTACCATCTAGAAACTCCAGAGTTTTGTCTAACTCAGGTTCAACTATCTGATGTTTTCGTGATACAACTTGTACTTTTGCTCAGTCTAGCATGAAACTTGAACTCATTTTTGTGACTTAGAATTTCTTGTTGAAAATAATTCTACTGTAAGTTGTCCTTCATTTAGTTTCAAACTAACACACACTTATATATACATATTGTTTTTATATGTAGTTTTTGGCCTTCTGTATGAATTGTATTTTAGATAACGGTATAAGCTAAAAATGTTAGAAAACCCCCCGAAAAGTTTGTTTAAATTTTTTGATGTGATATTTTTGTGTGAATTTTGCAAGAGAAGTCAAATATACGAACCACATAAATGTCAGTTATGCTTCTTTTGATGTGAAATGAAAGTGATATGTCTTCTGTCATGTTTTTTGACACTGTGGCAGCCCCTTTTTCACACATCTGCAAAGACTTGTTGCACAAGAGCGTCAAAGAGATTGTGAAACAGTCCTCAAAATTATCATCAAGCTACCTTTAAACTGGTAACTACATATACATATTTAGTTGAGTTAACTTAACGATTTAATGCATTAGTTTTTGAGATTTTTTCATAAGTGGCAAAAGTACCGCATCCGAATAAAAGTTATTTCTTAATGGACATCCCATTAATAACAACAGAGATTTATCAAATCTAATTTAGGCAGAAATCTTGAAATTCAAAAGCACAGAGTTTCCCAAAGTGTGGGGCCCGCCCCCTAGGGTGGGCGCAGAGCCACTGCAGGGGTTGACAGGGCTCCCACACAAACGCAAAGCAGGAGATGAAGCATCGCCAAATATGTTTCCAAACCAACTTCCTTCCAAGCCAAAGACTAGAAAATGGTGAAGCATATCTTCCCTTTGGCTTCAGCTGCTCGAGTGCCAAGGTAGGTCTCCCCTGCAGAATTGGTTTTCCCTGCGTCAGGAACACACGCTGTCCAAATCACAGACAAACTGTATCCCTAATTCTTAATTTTTAGTTCACAAACACTTCTTGTAATGGCGGGGTTAGGTGGTGGGGGTGTGTGAACATTTTTCTTGTAAAACAAAGGGGGGCCTAGCAAAAAAAGTTGGGGAACCACTGAAAAGCGTTTCATAATTTCATAATTATGAGGTTTTTATAATTATTTAAGTGCACCTACAAATACACTGTTTTCAGTCACTATGTTTGAGTGATTTTCTTATCTGTATTTAACCAGGGCAAAAAATACCCATTGAGATTAGAAAATGTCTTTTGCAAGAATGTTGTGGCCAAGATGAGAGATCTGACGCCCTCTAGTTGATGGCGCAAATGTTTTAGCCGCATTCTTCGGAC